GAAAAAAGGCATCATGGACATGGACAACAGGGTGGTGATTGCAGGGGACAGGGAGGTTAAGGGGAGTAGCTGTTAATGGAAAAATACAATAAAAATAAAGAAAGAAAAAGAAAATAATAAGTTAGAAAACTTTAGTATTCTTTATTCAGTAGAACTCAAATGTTTTTGAATACTGTGGGCCTGCACTGTGGCAGGTTCTGGGTATAATCAGCAACGAGAAAAAAAAAGATTGTTTTGTCATCCACGGGCTCACAGTCAAGTGCTAGGCTATTCATAATCACCTGAATTTAGAAATCTGGGCTCCACCCCCAGCCTTGGTGTTGGCTGGTGGAGTCCACATATCAATGTTTTTTAAACCTCCCAGATGAGTCTAAACAACAGTCAAATTTAGAATCTCTGCCTGGTAGAAGAGACAAACAATAAAGAAATGAAATGAAATAAACACAAAACTGCAAAATGAAGCAACTAGGAGAATGTACAGTAGCAAAGGAGAAGGGAGATTGTCAGGTGGTCTGCATGATCTTCACAAATGTTAAGGAGAAATAGTTCTTTAGGAAGGAAGTGTAGAGGACAACATTGGGCATAAAGACATGGAGAAGAGGCAGGTCAGAGCTTGGCATATTCAAGTGATCTGCTGAGATAATGGTAAAAGGTAAAGGCAAGCAGAGTATAGGACACTTCACTGCATCCTGGTGGGGACACATGGAAATCAGTCTCATCCAGGAGAGAGGAGGGAACTATAGGTAAGCCTTTGGGAACCACATATCATAGAAGCTGACTTCATGAGCTCAAGTTAAGGTCAGAGAAGAGAACTAAGGCCAAAGTTGAAGAACCTAATGTTTATGGAGGAGGCTGAGGAAGAACCAGAGAGGGCAGCTGCCAAGGAACTGTCAGAGGAAGAAGAGAAAAAAAAAAAAGAGGGCATGATGTGATGGAAACCAAGACCATACATTCCCTCACAAATCAGTCCGAGTTCAAAGTAGACAGGTTGGTGATATGAAATCACTTGCATGAAAAGTGGAAATAATGACCACAGCTCAGTTTAAGGACCCCTTTGGGGCAGTGATGCCTTTGGAAGACAGGGCCTTACTGTACCAACAGGACCTTTCCATTGGTTCCTAGGCAGCAGGGACTGACAACTGAGGAGAGTCAGGAACTTTTGTACCCTTGCCCCTAAGAAGTGCTTGACAAAGTGTGAATGCAGAGCAGGTACAGCCTTCTCAGGGCTAATTTCTTCCTCATGTCACACTCATCACTCAGTAACAAAAGCAGATTAGTGAATACATATGAGGGAAGAAAAGCGATTAGTAGGGAAGACAGGAGAAGACAAGCCACAGTTCTTCATTTTTTATTTTTTTAAGATTTTATTTATTTATATTTGGGGGGGGAGAGAAAAATAGATGGAGAGAAACATCAATGTGTGGTTGCCTCTCACACACCCCCCACTGGGGACCTGGCCTGCAACCCAGGCATGTGCCATGACTGGTAATTGAACCAGCGATCCCTTGGCTTCACAGGCCCGCACTCAGTCCACTGAACCACATCAGCCAGGGCTATTGTTTTTAAGAGGGGATTTAGGTCATAGTTGATATTAACAGAGATGAATCTTGTTATGTGGCCAGATTTTAGACAGCTGAATTCAACTTAGTTTTTGCTTATCATTTTTGCAAACCACTGTAGCCAAAAGGGAAGAAAAAAAATCTCATGTTCTGTGGAGGCTGCCTAAATAATTAAAGAAATATCAGGGTCTCAGACAGCTGCCTAAAACCTGGGATGGCTCCTAAACTCACTTAATGGGGAGCTTGGACTGCTTCAAGGAGTACTTGGGAGTTTTCCCAAGAAAAATTTGCAAGAATTATTTTGAGGGTTGCAATGCCCCCATAGTCCTGGAAGTAGCTTCTACCCAGGAACCCTAAAAATGTGAAATGCTAACTCAATAAGCATTGCTGCATTGTACATGAAGCTCTTGCCTATCTACACTTCCTTCAATTTAGTGCAGAAACCAACCTTAAGAGGTGGGTTTGGTCTAATTTTGCACATGCTGTCAGACTTTGTGCTCTAAGGAATGCTTCATTTGAATGCTAATTAATCTTGCAGGGAAGACTTAAATTAGCCTAGAAATATGCAAGAAATAGGGGAAATTTTGGCTCACTGATTATGCAAGATCTCCTTGGAAAATTATTGAAATAATCATTAAAAAATAATTGTAAGTGCTGAACTATGTTTAAGTACCCATTATGTACTTTTACCTCCAGTCAGTTGTAACAACTGCTTTTAAAAATTATTCAGTTTCCTTGAAAATTATTATAATGCAGAGATTAAGAAATATGACCCTGTTCTAATCATTACTTCCTGGAGTATATCTTGGAAAATGCATTTTCAGATACTTTCCCCTTATCTAAAAATAATTCATAGCTATTCTATTGGTTTCTAAGAGATCAGTCTTGAAATTGGAATCATTGTTAGGTATGATCTACCTGTGTGTGCCATATAGAGTCAGGTGACATGGTGCTGCTACTTCTAAAACCATCATTCTGCCAGACTTGTAAGTTTGATCAACACACAACCATTCAAGCCTCTACCACCAATTTTTAAATTACAATAATGATCTCTCTCCTATTTGGCCTAACTGGGATTTCTGTAAGAATTAAATGAGATAGAGAAGGGTATAGGGGAGATAATGGGAAGGAAACTTGATGTGGGGTGGTGACCACACAATACAATGTACAGATGATGTGTTGTGGAATCATCTGAAACCTACATAGTTTTGTTAACCAGTGTCACCCCAATAAATTCAATAAAAAGGGAAAAATAGTTAAGTGAGTTAGTCTATGAAAATGCTTTGCAATGATAGAGTGTTCTGATAGAACAAATATAGAAATTAAAATAAGGAGCAATGTAACTACCAAATATTTTATGATTTTTAAAAGTGCTATTCAAATGCAAGATATTGTTATTAAATTGATATCATGGAAATAACATAATAAGATCCATCTGTATTGAAATTCTACTTTGCTGTATATGTGAGAAAAAAATACATGCTTGTAACAATGCACAATTTCAACATACTTCCTGCATTGCTTAGTTAAGAATGTGCTTTCTACACTTCTTTTGCCTCTAATGACTGTCATGGGGCTTTGGCTAAGACAATCTATGCCTTTATTTTTCTTTCTGTAAAATGGAAATAATAGTACTTACTTTATCTTCCTCATAAAGGCAATGGGGAGATAAAATGAGAATTTCAACTTTACAGAGTTATCTAAGGGGTAGAGTGTGAAAACTTTAAATTAAACCAACAATTACAATGCAACAATAATTAACTTTCAGGACAATAACCTCAGTGTTAAAGGACTTAAAACTTCCCAGAGACTGATTAAATTATATTTTCCTCATTCATAAATGAATGCCTATACCACAAGCCTTATCTCATCACTGAAATAGAGTAGATATTGTCTCAGTCATCACAGAACATAAACTCTAATCAACTCTGTTTAATTCTCAGTTAATTTTAGTATATTGTAATCTTTTGAAAATATGTATGTGCTATTATCTAAATAGTTTGTGCAGTATTATGCAAACTGGTTTATTGACAGTTTAACAGCTTTTCGTGGCCCAGATGTCATCTAGATCTCTTCTAAGACACATTTATTCTTTTTGCATCTTAGAGTAAGCACATATGCTCCAAGAGTTCCACAAACACTCATTTGGTGATTTATATGAGTCAAAGTTAGGACTTATTACAGTAAAGCACACAGTGCAGGAACAGCAGGAAAAAGATGTGCATAGGCAAAGGTTAGAGAAATCAGGTACAGGCTTACTGGGTCCTCCTTCTGAGAAGGTCACTTGGATGTGTTCTTCCAGCTATGGACAGTGGAGATAAGAGAATAATATCTCCACATAGAAAGCCCATCTGTGTCTTGGGATCCATAGTTCTTTGTTTTTACATCATTTTTTATGTTTCAATTACAGTTGACATACAATATTATATTAGTTTTGGGTATACAACATAGTGATTTGACATTTATATACCTTACAAAGTGATCACCTCAATAAAACTAGCACCCACCTGACACCATACATAGTTATTACAATATTATTGGCTGTATACCCTACGCTGTGCTTTATATCCCCAGTACTATTCTGTAGCTACCAATCTGTACTTCACAATTCCTTCACTTTTTATACTCAATCCTCTAACCCCTCCCCATCAATCAACCATCAAAATGTTTTTGTATCTATGAGTTTCTTTCTGTTTTGTTTGTTCACTTATTTTGTTTTTTAGATTCAATCATTAATATGTATTTATTGCCATTTTATTGTCCTTAATGGGTCTGGTCACGTAGCTGCATGACAAACTGGTTTAGAGTCCAAACTAGATACCAAGTACACATCACAAATCTTTTCTCACATTTAAAAGTGCTCACAGATGAGTGTATTCTGTATTCCTCAGGTATACAGAATAATACCATTTCAGGACTTGAACGAGGGTCATTACTCTGACTCCAAGAGTCCCCAGACATAAGCAAGAACTGAGTAAAACAACCTGCTGCATTAGCACTTTCCTCTCAATATGGAACAAGAATAACAGCTTAAAAAAAGCTCTTATGCCCCAGTTTCTAACATCAGACCTTGCTGCTGTAGGCAAAAGAGTCAGGTTGACCTTTTTATGGTTGCAGCCCATGTTCTTTGGATAGATCAGGCAAAGCTGGAGTGGTCATGCTTACAATCAGTTTCTTCCTCTGCCCATATCTACTTCTGGAGCAATGAGCTGACTGAAATGTTTCCACATGTGCAGTGGTGGCTTCAATGTTTACAGGTCCTAATAATTTCCTCTCATGTGATGTGTCCAACCAATGTCCATAACTACCTCAGGTTTCAAGTTGCTTTTCCATTGATGTTTCTTCTTCCTTCTTTTACATTTATCCTCTAGAATAGTTTTTATTTCTTTATTTGGGGAGTTATTTTAAAAAATAAAGTTCATCTTTATATTTGGCATATAGGGAGAAATTGGCAAGGAGATGTATATTGTGAAGTAAAAAGAAGTCCGAGTTCTTGGAGGCTCTGATGGTGCTCAAGTTCTGGTCACTCTGAAAGCTGGAACAGTGTTTGGAGAAATCAGGTATCTGAAAGACACCTCACAAATCTCAAAGTCTGTCATTTGTCATAAAAAAAGAAATCTTAGGTCATAATATTAGTACAGTTCCTGCTCCAATTTATTAAAATTTTGATTGTGCTGAAAGCATTGATAAAACAAGGATTTTCACATTTATATTTATCCCTTCCCTTCCCTTAAAGAACTAGCTCAGTCAGCTTTTTAGTCCCAAGATTTAGGTCATTATCATAAGGTAGTTGCTCAATAGATGTTGAATGAAGGAATGAATGAATAGTGAAAGGAAATTGAGAGCTGTCAGATTGTTGGAAGACTTCAATGCCAGGCAAAGACAGCAATGTTGAGTAGGTGAATGATAATGATTACAGCTGTAGGACCAAATTGCCTGAGTCCAACTTTTAGTCTATCACTTGCTGACTTTGTCCCTCTGTTACCTGACCTCTCTGTTACTCAGTTTCCTCATCTTAATGGTATAATAATAATAGTATGTATCTTAGAGGATTGGCAGATGAGTTAATTATGAGAATGGAATTCAGCATCTATTAAGAGCTCAATAAATATTAACTATTGTTATTACTATTTACTATTGACCAGAAGAAGTTTATCCTACAAGTAAGCCCTCAAAAGTGGAAAAACAGACAGCAAATTTAAACATTTTTCAGGCTTGACACTTTCATATGCATTATTATATTTTTAAACCGCCTCTTTTATTCATCCAAAACATATGTACTGAGTACCTGATACATGCCAGATTGTCAGGTATTGCTCTAAACTCTAGAATATACTGTAAAAATGGTAAATAAAATGCTTCCCCTCACAGAGCTTACAATCATTTGGGGTAAACTGATAATAAATAAACAACTGGATGAGATAAATTCACATTGTGACAACTGCAGTTTTGTTAAAAATTGTTAGAAAGTGACTGGGTATGCTACTTTAAGTATGGTGTCCAGAGACAACTTTTCTGGACAGATAAGATCTGAACTGAGACTAAAAGGAGTATGTGTAGCAGCCATCCAGGAATAGGGAAGCAGCCTGCCCAATGACAGAAGGGCCAGTATAGAGACCTGGAGTAAAGCAGGCTTGTCTGGAGAAAGACATGCAGCTCAGTATGGTCTAGCCAAGTGAACGTGAGTCTGCACAGAAATGAAGCCAAAGTGGTGAGCAAGGATCAGATGATCTAGGGAAGGGATTTGTATTTTATTCTAATTACAAATGGTTGCCAGTGTAAAATTGCAGGAAGAGAATGATGCAACTGGAATTGATTTTAAAAGACCTCACCAGCCCCACAAAGAAGAAATAGTAGAGAAGCAAAAATAAAACAGAGGAGGTCAGCAGAGGTCAGTCACAGGGGCTCAAGTGAAGGGTGTGGCTCTGGAGCAAAGAATGTGTTGTCAGACGGTTGTTAGAATGTTCATGTCACAATTGAGGAGACTGTAACTCCAGGCACCATAATCTTGCCAATGCTAATATGCAAACCAGATGAAGAGACAATGTTACAACCCAAGTTTCGAGTAGATCAGGGTCCACTGATCTTTCCCCTAGACCACAGAAAAGAGGCCTTTGTCCACCTCCGATTTCATAGCTGCTAAGATATTATGTTCACATTCCAGAAATATGAAGAATTTCAGATTATTTCATATTAGCATAATTAGGGCTTTCTTAGAATGCTGAAGCATGTTATTTCCCTGTTGATGGTGTAGTTGCTCTTTTTAATTTTTCTTCCTTGCTTAAACCTGGGTGGGTCCTCCTGTGAGGGTCTTCCTGCTCTGAGCCAGCTGTGGAAACACCTCAGAAGGTCCATGATCTGAGTCCTTTAACTATTTTCTATTATTTCCTTACATGGTGTTCTTGCAAAGGTGATTTAATGTTTTACTGACTTAATAATCATTGTAATTTTTGAGGTCACAAAACATGCAACAGTCTAATCTGAAACATTGCAGAAATTAATTAGCTACCCTCTCCCAAGGGTTGAGTACTGCCTAATGAATAAAGCTTTATAAATACAAGTATATTAATTGCTGATACTATCATCATCATGGGAGGAAATACTCTAGGAATAGAATCCAGGAGCTGCTGAGTTGCGATTGAAAGGAATCTTAGATTCTTTACAGCAGTTTCTCAAATTAATCTCTTCTTTCCCATTTGGATTTCTAAGACCAAGTTGAAACCAGTAGACCAGACACACCCTAAACTTGCTCAATAATCTGGTTCATTCAAGCAAAGGGGAGCTTTTTGCCTTGATTCTACTTATGGCTGTGGTTGAGGGAACACAGGGTACATCTGCTTCCTCCCAGATGTCACAGGCTTCTGCCTCCTCCACAGTTGCCACATGCCCCAAGGGCCACTTATTTATGGAAGCAATGCAGATGTGCCTGCTGACAACTAGACACTGGAATGATCTAGTAGTCATGTTCACTACTCAAAAATGCTGTGACCTTTGTTAAAATGAGCTAAATCTACCATTTTCATGAGGCTTTTTAAAAATGGTTCTTTTTCTTAGAAAAAAAAGAAATAAAAGAACTGAGAGCTTTCAAGGACATTATATATTAATCCAAAAATGTAGAGTCCTGACTAAAATATAGAGGTACAGCCTGTTGTAGAGAACCTAGACCACACTTCCAATTAACATCTGTATAATGCAGATGGTCTCAAGGTGGCTCTGACTGCACTGTTTTCCTCACACACATCTAGTGGCCAGCTTTATTTACCCATGTGCTTAATCATTTCCCAGCATCCTTCTCTATCTGTCAAAATCTCACCTTTCTTGAAATACATCAGAATGTTTACTCTTGGCATTGCTGTTATGATTTCAATAGTATTCCCTAATGGTTTTGTCTCTCTTTGGAATGTTCTCCCCTGGAAAATACCTACTCACCCTTAAATACTCAACTCAGAGGTCACATCTGAAGCCATCTCTGACCATCACCAACACAAGTAATTAGTCTGTGTTCTATGTCCCCATAGTATTTCACTCATGACTTCAACACAATAGTTCCACTCATTTATAATTATTTTGTTCAGGTGGATCCTCCCAACAGACTGAGATATTAAAATATGACAACTTTCCATTTTTATGTCACCAGTAGCTACAAAAACTGTATAGCAAATGTCAATTTTTATGTACATCTTGGCTCTGTTCAAGAATGATTTGTAGAGATGCAAGGTGGTGAAGGATTAAGTGGAAGTTACACTAACCATTTCCCAAGACCAGTCTAGAATTACAACTAACTGGTAGAGAAATCATCTTGAATAACCAATTGAACACTAGCTGGAGAGAAGCCTTATGAACAAGAACAGACAGAAGAAACCATTTTACCACAATGAGACTGGTAGAGAGTGAAGTGGAGGCACAAGAGGGCTGCATGGGCTCCCACAGAGGGTACCTGAAGTTGTGGGGGGATATTTCACTAGCAAGGGGTTCCCATTGAGAAGTGTGGGGTCTAAACACCAAGCTGGGTTCCTGCCTACAGCATGAGAGCTGGAAAGGAAACAAGATAACATCCAGCTGAAAAGCAGCAGGTGTTCTATCTGCCAGGAAAAGATGGCTGAGGACACAGAGAACCTCTTAAATGGCCAACACACAAAATTCTGTTTGCAGTCACTTACCCTGGGCTCTAACAGAGGGAGAGCAGAGTGGACTAGAGACACTTGAGGAGAGTCTGACATAGTGGTTTTCTGGAGAGAGAACTGAGGTTAACAACAGCCAGGTTCCCATGCTGAGTCATTTCCCAGAACATAGAAGCCATATTTCTCATGCAGAGAACTCCTGTCTGACTGTCATCAATAGCCCTGTCCACAGGAATTACTGTGCCCCCACCCTGTGTTGCTTAAGCAAGGCTGCTAGTTAAAGCTTAATGCCATATCACTGATTAGTTTAACAACTAAAGTGGAGGATACAAAGAAGCAGCCATAATGGGATGACAAAGAAACACATCCCAAAGGAGACAATTCTCAAAGAACAGGATGAAATGGAGGCAAGCAACTTTTCAGATAAAGAGTTTAGATTGATTATTATAAGGGCACCAAACAGCATAAAAAGACATAGAACCATAAAAAAGAATGAGTCACAAGTAAATTATGCAATATCTGAGATAAATAATACACTGGAAGGAATAAACAGTAGGTTAGATGAAGCAGAGGACAGAATCAGTATTTTGGAAGAGAAGGTAGAAAAGAATACCCAGGCAGAGCAGCAAAGAGAAAAATAATTAAAAAATATGAAGAGAGCTTAAGAAACATTTGGGACGTGAAGCATAACAACATCTGCATGATAGGAATAACAGAAGGAAAAGAGAGCAAGCAAGGGAGTGAGAACCTATTTGAAGAAATAATGACCAAAAATTTCCCTAATCTGATGAAGGAAAAAGACATGCAAGTCCAGGAAGCTCAGAGAGTCCTAAACTAGTTGGACCCAAAGAGGCCTACATCAAGACACATCATAATTAAAATGGCAAGGCTTAAAAATAAGGAGAGAATGCTAAAAGCTTCAAGAGAAAAGCAGGTAGTTACCTACAAGGGAGCACCAATTAGACTGTCATAGGATTACTCAACAGAAACATTTCATGCCGAAAAGCAGTGGCATGAAATATTCAAGGTGATGAAATGCAAGGACATACAACCAAGGCTACTTTACCCAAAAAGTCTATCAATAACAATTGAAGAACAAGTAAGAAGCTTCCCATACAAGAAAAAGCTAAAGGAGTTTGTTAACACCAAACCAGTACTGAAACAAATCTTAAAGAGCCTGCTTTAAGAAGAAGAAGGAGAAAAAGAGAAAGGGATAAAATACAGAGGAAAACAGTATAACAATAAAATGGCCCTACATACATGCCTATCAATAATCACCTTAAATGTAAATGGCTTAAATACTCCAACCAAAAGACAAAGGGTAGCTGAATGGATAAGAAAACAAGACCAATATGTATGCTGCCACAAAGAGACCCATTTCAAATGAAAAGATACACACAGATTAAAAGTAAAGGGATGGAAAAAGGTATTTCATGCAAGCAGAAAGTTAAAAAAAAGCTAGGGTAGCTGTACCTATATCCAATGAAATATAATTTACAGCCAAGTCTATAGAAAGAGACAAAGAAGGACACTACATAATGATAAAGGGAACAATCCAACAAGAAGATACAACCCTAGTAAACATTTATACACCCAAGAGGGGAGCACCAAAATATGTGAAGCAAATCTTGATGGATATAAATGGGGATATTGACAGAAATATGGTCATAGTTGGGGATTTTAACACCCCATTGACTTCAGTGGATACATCTTCCAGACAGAAAATCAACAAGGAGATAGCAGCCTTAAATGAACACTAAGACAAATGCAATTAATTGATATCTTCAGAGTATTTCACTTCCAAACAGTAGAGTATACATACTTTTCAAGTACACATGAAACGTTTTCTAAGACCACATGTTAGGACACAAACAAGTCGCAATAAATTTAAAAATATTGAAATCATACTAAGCATCTCTCTGACTACAATGCTATGAAACTAGATATTAGTCACAAGAACACTGAAAAACATGCAGAGACATGGAAGCTAAATAACATGTTATTAAACAATGAACGGGTCAACAATGAGATCAAGGAAGAAATTAAAGGATACCTTGAAACAAATGAAAATGGGGAAACAACAATCCAAAATCTATTGGACATTGGCAAAGCAATCATAACCGAAATTCATGTTATTATAGGCCTATCTAAAAAAAAAAAAAGCTCAAATAAACAATCTAATTTCACACTTAAAGGAACCAGAAAAAGAAAAACAAACAAAGCCCAAAGTAAGTGTAAGGAAGGAAATCATAAAGATCAGAGCAGAAATAAACAAAATAGAGTCTAAAAATATACAAAAGATCAATGAATCCAAGAGCTTCTTCTTTGAAAAGAAAAAACAGCATTGACAAACCTATTTTTTCATAGAGAAAAATTGTAATTAACTGAATAAATGTATGTGTGTGAGTATACTCATGAGTACACACAAACACATATCCCATGTGAAGGACTGAAAGAAAAACTTCCAGGCTACAAGCTTCCAGTTATAAAATTAACACCTTATGGGGATCTAATGTACAGCATGGTGATTATAGCTAATAGTACTGAATTATATACTTGAAAGTTACTAAGAGACTAGATTTTATTATTTTTCCATTTTTTTCTCCCCTTTAATCCCCTCTGCCCTGCAACCCCCTCCCACCAGCATTTCCCCAACTTAGTTCATGTCCATGGGTCACACATATAAGTTCTTCAGCTTCTCTATTTCCCATAGTATACTTAACCCCTTCCTATTTTGTACCTACCATTTATGCTTCTTATTCCCTGTAACTTTTACCCCATTCTCACCCCTCCCTTTCCCCACAGAGAACATTCCACGTGATCTCCATTTCTGTGATTCTGTTCCTATTCTAGTTGTTTCCTTAGTTTGTTTTCTTTTGTTTTCCTTTTTAGGTTCAGTTGTTGATAGTTGTGAGTCTGTTGTCATTTTCCTGTTCATATTTTTTATCATCTTTGTCTTAGATAAGCCCCTTTAACATTTCATATAATAAGGGTTTGGTGATGATGAACTCCTTTAACTTGACCTTATCTGGGAAGCATTTTATCTGCCCTTCCATTCTAAATGATAGCTTTGCTAGACAGAGTAGTCTTGGATGTAAGTCCTTGCCTTTCATGACTTTTATTACTTCTTTTCAGTCCCTTCTTGCCTGTAAGATTTCTTTTGAGAAATCAGCTGATTGTCTTATGGGGACTCCTTTGTAGGTAACTCTCTCCCTTTCTCTTGCTGCTTTGAAGATTCTCTCCTTATCTTTCATCTTGGGTAATGTAATGATGATGTGCCTTGATGTGTGCTTCCTTAGGTCCAACTTCTTTGGGACTCTCTGAGCTTCCCGGACTTCCTGGAAGTCTATTTCCATTTCCAGATTAGGGAAGTTCTCCTTCGTTGTGTTTTCAAATAAGTTTTCAATTTCTTGTCTTTCCTTGTCTCATTCTGGCACTCATGTGATTTGGAAGTTGAAACATTTAAAGTTGTCCCAGAGGTTCCTAAGCCTCTCCTCATTTTTCTTTTGAACTTTTCTTTCTTCATTCTGTTCCGGTTGAATGTTTATTTCTTAATTCTGCCCCAAACCCTTGATTTGAGTCCTGGTTTCTTTCCCTTCACTGTTGGTTCCCTGTACATTTTCATTTATTTCAATTTCTTTTTTTTAAACTTGTTTTTTTTAAACATCAATGATCTTTAAATTTTTTTAAGATTTTATTTATTTATTTTTAGAGAGGGAAGGGAGGGAGATAGAGAGAGAGAGAGAAACATCAATGTGCAGTTGCTGGGGGTTACAGCCTGCAACCCAGGCATGTACCCTAGCTGGGAATCGAACCTGGGACACTTTGGTTCCCAGCCCGCACTCAGTCCACTGAGCTACACCAGCCAGGGCCATTTATTTCAATTTTCATAGCCTTCACTTGTTCCTCTATTTTGCAACCACAGTCAATCATTTCTGTGAGCATCCTGATTACCCGTGTTTTGAACTGTGCATCTGATAGGTTGGCCATCTCTTCATTGCTTAGTTGTATTTGTTCTGGAGCTTTGATCTGTTCTTTCATTTGGGCTATATTTTTTTGTCTAGGCATGCCTGTTATGTAGTTGGGGGCTAGTGAAGACTGCTGTCATGCCTATATGGGCTGGGAGATCAGAACTAGTCAAAAAGGAGAATAAAGGGTCTAGCTCAGAGGAGGAAGTTTTATGTGATGCAGTGGAAGAACCAGCTATGAAAGTTTTGCCTATGGCACCACCCAAGGACCTGCTTCGTAGCTGTTGCTCCTTACTTCAACTCTGGAAGAGTTCCTCCTCACAGGATTACCAAGAGAGACAAAATTTAGACAGATATCCTGTTAAGGCCATGCGACAGTGCCTTCAACAGGCAGCAGAGGCTGGGGATTTAGATGCCCTTTCAGCCTTTCTCATTATAGTCAGGGGTCAAAGAAATGTCCATGAACCCCTTCTTTTTCCCTTTACAGAGATCTAAAATAGAACATTAAAAAAAATGGGCTTCAGTCTCCCTTTACTAATGGGCTATTTCAAGCCATCACTGACAGCTACAGAATGGCCCCTTGTGACTGGATTGCTCTGGCCAGGACAGGCTTAACCCCAGTTCAGTTCACAGTCTGGCATTCAGAGTACTCTCAGCAAGCCGGCCACCAAGCAACCAAGAATGCACAAATGAATAATCCTGTCACCCGCTCCTATGCTGCTTGAGTCTGGTCATTTTGCCACCACTATGGCTCAAGCCAGGCTTGATCCTCATGATTTTAGTCAAAGTGCTCAAATTGTTCTCAGAGCCATGAAAGCTGTGCCTGATTCTCAGGCCAGGAAAATTTCTTCCTTTACCAATATCCATCAGGGTGCTTCAGAGGCATAAATTGACTTTATTGATCACCTCCAAGAAGCTATTGATGGGCAAACAGATAATGAAAGAGCAACCAAGGCTCTTTTGTGGCAGCTAGCTTATGAAAATGCTAACAAAGACTGCAGGACCATTATAGGAACCCTGCGAACTATCACCAAAGACATCAGTGAGTTTATCAAAGCTTGCCAAGATTTCGGCACAGAGCAGCATAAGGCTTCTCTCTTGGCTGCTGCAATTAAGGGAGATCCCAGGTGCTACAATTGTGGAAAGCCCAGTCACCTATGCAAGGACTGTTTGTCCACAATGGAAAGGGGAAAGAGTAATTACAAGCTTCCCCTAAAGGATTGTCTGCGCTGTGGCAAGGGCAGACATTGGGCAAAGAATGCCACTCTAAATTTGACAAAAATGGCCAACCTATTCAGGGAAACTTCTGAGGGGCACCCGCTCCAGCACCCTCAACACCAATCAGAGCTTTCAGAACAGCAATCAATATCAGGGAATGCAGGGAAATGCACAGTTTTCAACCTTCATGCAGCCACCTGCAGAAGCGCAGGGCTGGACTTGGTCACCACCAATGAGCTCATCTTAGAGAACAGGATCAAGTAATTGTAGCTCCCACTGGTGTCTGGGGACCTCTACCCACCAGAAACAGTTGGTTTAATCTTAGGGAGATCCAGTATTACTACCAAAGACATTTTTGTTCAGCCAGGGGTCATTGACTCAGACTATCAAGGGGAAATTAAAATCATGCTTAAAGCTTCTGGTTATCATGTTATTCCTGCCCAAATTTGTATTGCCCAGCTGCTCCTACTCCCCTACATTATCTCAAAGACTCAGAATACAGTGAGGGGAGAGGGAGGCTTCGGTAGTACAGACAATCAATCAGTTTTTTGGACAGAATCAATTAAATTAAATAAACCAATCTTACAAATAAAGGATAAGACCTTTCGAGGCCTCATAGATACAGGAGCTGACATCTCCATTATCTCAAACCAGTCTTCACCTCCAGAATAGCCCCTAACAGACAGCAGAATGCCTGTAACAGGGATTGGAGGAGTTTCTCAACCACAAGTCAGTGTATGGTCTCTTAAGTGTTATGGACCAGACAGACAGGTAGGGAGAATTTGACCATATATCCTGCCTATGCCCCTTAATATTTGGGGCTGTGATGTCCTTGTTACAGGGTGCAGCCAAGAGGTGGAGACCCCAAATAGGCATTTGAAATGGGGTCCAGAACTTAAGGTGTCCAGGAGATTTTTGGATGTCCTCACACCCACTCCCCAGGTGTGGGTTGGGGGAAGGGACAAATGGAGCAGGGCCTTTGAGAGCTGTTTTGCATAGCAACAGCCTTGTAGCTAACCTCTGGTGTGGTCATTTAACATATCTATAGCCTTTGGCTGGTTGCTTAGATATGTTAAATAGCTGTGGCCAGGCTCTGAGCCAGGGAAATGGAAGTAACAACCCCACCAAGACATGACTGGGGGGCAGATCCCCCGAGTTAACAGCGCCTGCGTGGGAGCTCAGAGATTGGCTCCATGACATGGGGTCACACCTGCCCAGACCCACGATGGCGACCAGAAAAGCTGGAGAAGACAGCAGATTGAGGGCAAGTGTGCTCAAGTGTAGGAGGAGTCGGAAATGGGGCTGCAGAGAAAGATTGGCGTGGGGATTTAAACCCAGAGGCGGCAGCCATTGAAAGAGAGAACCACGCAGCTTTAGCAGAGTGAAGACTCCCGCAGCCCTGCAAGAGAGAATCACCATGCGGCTTTAGCAGAGAACCGCACTCGGCTTTGGCAGAGTGGCGACCCCCGCAACCCTTGCAGCCATTGTGCAGGGGAAGAAGCACGCAGTTTTGGCTGAGTGAGGACTCCCGTGGCCCTGGGAGAGAGAACCACGTGCCTTTGCCAGAGTGGGGACCCCTGCAGCTTTAGAAGAGGGAACCACCACCTGGTTTTAGCAGAGATCCCGGCGACTCAGCTGAGGGTGCCGGGAACCCAGGGAGGTCTCCCAGTCAAGATGGAGTACTAACTGGGAATAACCAGAGGCCTGCCTGAGCCATGGATTTCTATTTCCTTTCCTGAGATATGGTACTCTGGACTGGGCAAAGGGGGAAGGAAGGAAGGACTATGTCTGTTTGTGGGTGTTTTTAGGGACTTTAGGATTTTTTGATAAAGACATTAGGTCACTACTTTAAGTTTGTATAGTATTAAATAAACATTTCCTTTCCTTTTCACAAATCTCTGGCATTGAGAGATTTCTTTCCTCTGGCAGTGGACATGACAGACCTGGGGGCTTTTTTTTTTTTTAAATAATAGTATATCATCCCAGGACCCCCTTATTTGTTCTGTAACATCCTCAGTCGGTGGGTGATGCAAATCTCTCTGCCGTATTTTCCCTAGTGGCTACTGCTCTTATAACTCCCCTACCACTTACCTGGCTCTCCAATACACCGGTATGGGTTGATCAGTGGCCACTTAAAGGAGAGTGACTTGAACAGACCTGCTTTTTAGTTAAACAACAGTTAAAAGTAGGTCATATTGAACCCTCTAACAGCACTTGGAATAAGCCTGTTTTTGTTGTACCAAAGAAACCAGGCAAATGGAGGCTTATTCATGATCTAAGAAAAATCAGTGAATCCCCCCAACCTATGGGTCCCCTGCATCTGGGAGTCCCCAACCCAGTTTACATTCCAGAGGACTAGCCACTTCTAGTTATCCACCTAAAGGATTGTGTCTTTACAATTCCATTAGCAGAAAAGGGTCTGAAGTGTTTTGCATTTTCCCTCCCACTCATTAACAATTCTCAGCTTTTACAGCAGTTTCAATGGAGAGTTTTGCCTCAGGGAATGCTTAACAGCCCAACTATCTGCCAGCATTTTCTTCCTACATCCAGTCAGCCAGTAAGAGATCAGTTTCCTAATTCAATTATCTATCATTATATGAATGTCATCCTGATCACAGCTCCTTCACAAGATATTTTAGCAAAAACTGCTTCTTTTCTTAAAAATTCTGTAGCCTCTGCTGGGCTAGAAATTGCTCCAGAAAAAATCCAGCCTTCAGAGCCTTGGAGATATTTAGGCTATATTCTCTTTAATAGGACAATTTGGCTTCAAGTCCTTCAAATTAATTCACCCAAGGATTTGACTCTTCATCACCTCCAACAACTCCTAGGAGCAATCAACTGGGTGCATACCAGCCTTGGAATACCTACCCAACAATTAATTCATTTATTTAATGCCCTTAAAGGGGGCCTTAATCTTAATTCCCTCAGAAAACTGTCCTCCGAGGCCCTACAAGAATTAACTATAATAAATCAGCATCCACAACTAACTAGAATTAATTCACAGTTTCCTGTCCGGTTTTTCTGTTTCCCAACCTTAGGCACTCCAACAAGCTGTCACCTCACTTAGCTATGACTGAGTGACTTTTTCTGTCTCATCAACCGCAACACACTATTACCACCAATATAACTGCATTGTGCCATCTTATTATAAAAAGACGTGAGTGAACACAGCGGTTATTTAGATATGATCCTGCCTTTATTCACGTCCCCTTAACTCAAGTCTATTTACAACAATTGGCAACTCAATCTTTAGAATTTCAGTGTGCCATAGCTGACTTTATAGGAGGACTAGAAATTAACCTGACCTCAGATAAATTGCTTCAAAAATATTCCATTCCTTCAAATAAGGCTAGCAGAAAAGGTCAGCCCAATGCCAATAACTGGAGTGAGAACTGTGTTTCTTGATGGGTCTGGAAAAACTGTATGGACTGCTATTGCCTGGCAAGAGGGCAAAAACTGGAGAAGTTTTGTATCAGGACATTCCTCTACTCAAAGGGGCTGAGCTTTTTGCTGCAGTCATGGCCCTGAGGCAATGGCCCCAAGAACCTCTGATTATATTCTGCGACTCAGGATATACTGTTTATACTATTCTGCATCTAGATCAGGCACTAATTAAGACTTCTATTGACCCTAATCTACTTAACCTATTTCTGACCCTACAGTTCCTCCTTGACAATTGAGAATACCCTCTTTTAATTACTCATATTCAGTCCCATTCAGGCTTGCCTGGCTCCCTAGTAGATGGTAACAATAAGGCAGATGCCTTAGTCAGTGTGCTTACTGCTTTCCAAGAAGCAGAAGCTTCTCATCAGTTTTTTCATCAAAATAGCCAGACACTCTGAAAACAATTAATATCCCTCTCTCCCAAGCTAAGCAAATTATTAAAGAATGTCCTGATTGCCAAGCCCTTAGCAAGGAGCCCCCATCCACAGGAGTTAATTCTCAAGGACTAAGTTCTCAAATAATTTGGCAAACAGATGTCACTCATTATGCCCCCTTTGGAAAATTCAAATACGTTCATATTTCTATTGATACTTACTCTGGTGCCCTACATGCATCTGTCTTGACAGGGGAATCTGCTAAAAATATACAAGCCCATTGGCTTGAGGAATTTAGTCATTTAGGACAGCCTTAGCGAATTAAAACTGATAATGGCCTTGGATACCTTGCTCATTCTACTCAGGCTTTTCTTCAGCATTGGAATATCCAACATAAAACAGGAATACCTTACAATCCATCCAGTCAGGCAATTGTAGAGTGAGCTCATCATACTTTTAAAAATCTTCTTAAAAAACAAAAAAGGGAGAGCCACGAGTCCTCCCCCCAAAATTTGATTATGTTAGCTATGTTTACATATAATTTTCTAAATTGTGATGAATCACTTTGTACTCCAATTGAGAAACATTTTCAGAAGAAAGAGCCAAAGTCATCTTATCCTCAGGTTTTATATAGAGATCCTCTGGGAGATGGTTCTTGGCAGGGCCTGGTAGACCTTTTAACTTGGGGAAGAGGGTATGCATGTGTTTCTATTCCTACAGGCTCTATCTGGATACCAGCAAAAAGAGTGAAGCCTTATCATGAGTGAGACAGGCATCAAGCTCTGCTATCTGCTGGCAAAAACCAATCAACTGATAGACCAGATGGCCCAGCTGACCCTGAACAACCAGAAGGAAAACAGACACCCACAACATCACTCATGGGCCTGGGTCCGCCAGCAGAGGAGGATGGGACCTGCCCCAATGACAGAGGCTGAGGCTCAAGTGCCTCCTGCAGAGGGCAACAACCCCTCAGTGCCCCATAATGTTCAATGGTTGAACTCTAAAAACTAGTTCAATGGACTGAATTTATGGGTTTGGATCATGGTAGCCCTTGGATGCCTCCTTGTCTTAATCCTTATTTGTACTTGATGATATATAGAGACGTTGTTTTCTTAAGATTGCTTTGGGGAACAGCAAATAGTGGGTTTCATAGGCTTAATAGCTATAATTGAATTTACAAACAATAAAGTGGGAAGATTAGATTTTGGGAACTGCCCTGCCTGGCTTCAGAAGCTGTAAGCCCCCATGGCTAAGGTTGAATGACAGACCTTTGGACCCTAAGCCACTGAGGAGACAAAGCTTATCTCCTTGGCAGGACCACCACCTCTGCCCCCTTTACTTCACCCTGCCTGGCCCCCAGTGCATGATCAGTTAGCCAATGATGGGTAAGATTCCTCAAGGGAGGGATGATCTAAGACAGGCATGGTCATGAGGGGGCCTTCAGGG